GAGTCTGGTAGCATCTAGCAGGGTTCGGACCCTGCCTGCTGCTCCATCAGTCACATTTGTGCAGTTGGCAGCACTGGGGTTAGCCAGCTCCAGGAGACCTCTCTGTGTGAGCTGAGCCCATTGCAATGTGGACAGGCCCTTCATCTGGTCTTTTGCCATTGGTTGGGGTCTCTGTGGCCTTGTCACTGGGGAATGTGATTCAGGGAAAAAAGGTGTGATTTGGGGTTTCAAGATGTGAGCATCAGAGATGCTTTGTTTTGCTTTGCAGCTTGAAGTTGTCTGCGGTTGTATCTGGACTTCTTCTGGTGCGCCACAGTGCACTCTTACACCCTAGCCCCTGTCCTCAAGACATCGTGCAGCCATTCGTTGGTGTCACAACCAGCCATGGTCTTGGCCATGAGCCTCAGTTTCCTGGGGAGGGAATGTCTCTTGTGAGCACCCGGCTCTCAGCCAGAAGCAGGTGTAGAAGGCAGTGGGATCCCCGAAGAGCTCTGGGGTCGCGGTCATGACTGCAGTCTCTGTTTTGCTCTGTGGAAAAGAGCAGTGGTCCGAGGCCAGGAGGGTCACCCCTTTGTCCTGACTTTATGGCAGAAAGGTGGGTTGGTATCTCCTGATGTTGCATTTCCAACAAGAGCATTAAATCCTTGCAGGGAGGTAATTCCCAGCTTTCCGGTAAGGATAACATTGACGGTACCTAATTAAAGGGTACTTTTAGCCTAGATAAACATTTATATTCATTTCCTTCTTACGCAGATGTCTGGTAAACTGACCTCCTGAGGCAAAACCATCTGGCCTCAGGTGGGAGGAGGATCTCAGCCAGCCTGGAGAACCTGACTGGGCTCTGTTCACTCATTTCTCAATAGCTTTTTCTGTCACAGAAGTGACATACGTATGAAAGGCCTGTGGTATGAATGTTCAGGTTTTATGGGCAGTTGTCTTAAACGACCTGCATAATTACACTGCTGGCTTGTGACTATAGGCTCCGTTGTATCTCTGCTTTCCATCACGTATTCTGGGATCATCCATGTATAAAATTAGTATGGGCAGTAAGCAGCAGTAAGATGTTCCCTACTTGGATGGATTAAATTAAAATTCAGTAAGAAACAGAGCTTTGAGCGAGTTTCCAAATTACTTGCAGGATTGCACTGAAGAGATTGTTATGGTATCATAAACCTTTTTGGTGGGTGAGCAGCCTAATGCAAGTGAGATGGTTTTGTTACCTCACAGTGCTCTTTCTATTTTATGTACTATGCTGCGTAATCTTCTGTTATTAAATAATAAGCAAAATAAAAACACTTGTTTGTCACAGCAAGCATGTTCTTCAGAGAATTTGCTTGCCTTGAAAGTTTAGTCTGTGTGATCTGCCCTGTCAGGTGCTATTATATTAAATCTTCTTTTAAATTGTTAAGCTGGAGGACAAACCTAGACGTTATCATGCACACCTCAGCTGAGAGTGGGGCGAATTCAGCAGGGAGCAGCCTCTGATGCCATGTACAATGCCATTAGTTTTTGTCGTGAGCATGTCAGGATTATCTGCTTCCAGTGGTACGTGTGTTGGCTGACATGAGCATTTGTAGAGCTGCATAATTTTTGAAGTAGTTTGAAATGTGGATATAACACTTGGAGCTGTGTGAAATCTTTTCTTTCCCCTTTTACGGATCATATTGCTCTTCAGAATGTTTCTTGTTCTGTTACTGCCTCGCATGAGGTATTGTATTAACCTGCAAAATTAATTTGCAAATGAAAGTGCCCTGAACTAGAAATCATCATAGTGAACAACTGCTGAAACACTTGGGAAGACCATTTGCAACATTGCATTTTCAATAGAGACTGTTGGTGCTTTAGCATATATGGGATCATATCTTAATGCAGGATGTTATTGTTATTTATGGAACTTGGCAACCCCGAGTTAAAACTGGACTGTGATGGGCAGGATTTTTCACTTACAGTGTGTGTGTGTTTATTTGTACCTTCGTAGCCTTTTACAGATGAGGTTTTCATGCACATTGAAAGTTGGACAAGATACTTCAGTTACTTGTTTTTTTCAAGGTGCTTTCTTGATCATTAATACTCAGGCCTACCCCAGCCTCAAAAGCAGTCATGTTCTTCCATGAAGACACTTATTTCCACCCTCTGTGGTGCAGCCAGACAGCAGAAGGAGCCCATATCTGTAGCCATGGCAGCCAGTAATTTATTGCTCCATATGGCTGGTGTGGTAGCAGCTGCTTTGGTTTAAGGAGGTCAGGGCATCTGGGCATTTAAGAAGCAAAACAAAACCCCACTGTTTTGTACATAATAATGGGATTCTCCATAGGTGTAAGGAGAGCCAAAAATGAGAAATTAACTTGTCTTTTTGTACATTTATAACTTTTAGGACATTTTAATCAAAGACATTATTTCAGAGGGAGGGAAGTTTTTGTGTCTCCTTAAGATGGTTTTACCTTTTTTTCCAGTTTTCATTGCTACCATTTGTAGGTAGGACATAGTACCATGAGCACAGCGAGCTGAGACGTTGCGAGTGACTCCTTTGGATCTACCATGCAGCAGATGTTGAACAGCCAGAGAAAGAGGAGAATCCAACCCACTGCTTCAGGATGCATTCGATACTATGCTGAGAGAGAAATTGTATTGCCCAAATGAAATGGCAGCACTATATTTCTAGTGGTAGAGATGTGTGTTTTGTGAGTAATTATCATGGAACAGAAATACAGGTTTAGTTTCAGTTTGGCTGTGAGAGTCAGTTGCTGCTGAAAAATGGTATAGAAAAGCTCTTGGATTTAGCGCTAAGGTGTGCAAATAGGCTTTTCATAAGCATGAATCTTTTTATTTTCATTAGGGCACGGTTTTAATTAAAACAAAACTGGAATGTTTACTCTTTGCTTCCTATAGCTGTGATTGTTTTTTTCACTCTGTGAACACGTGTATAATTTGCTCTAAAAGAAATGTCAGCAGTTTCTGATTACCTTGTGAGTCTTACTCAACAGCTTGATTTTAATTGGGGGGAGGAAGGATTTCAGGGTGCTCCAGGGAGGTCTAATGTCTTTTGGTAGTAGGAGGAAATAGGTGCTATCTTTGGTACAGTGTTAATTGCAATAATCACTACTACTGGTTTAAAATAAAAGTCCTTCATTACTTACCCCTGGTAGGGTGGATTTTTTTCTGTCAGGTCAATAAAATCCAACCTGTTTGGTAATTAGCATCCCTCAGCTACATAACCTTTTGACATTGCTGCATCTGAGTGCTTGTAAGCATCCGAACAGGGTGACTTTTGGAAAACAATGATTGACTATAGATAGGATGGCTCGAATTTTAGGAAATTTTTATAAGGAAGTATTTTGCATTATGAGGGTGGTGAAACACTGGAACAGGTTGCCCAGAGAGGTGGCAGATATCCTTTATCCTGGGAACATTCAAGATCAGGTTGAACAGGGCTGTGAGCAACCTGATCGAGTTGAATATGTCCCTGCTTATTGCAGCAGGGTTGGAACTAGATGACCTTTAAAGGTTCCTTCCACCCAAGTTGTTTTGTGATTCTGTGAAAACACTACAATGCGGGTTAAGTAAAGGAAAGAGGCCAGGCACATAGGGAGCACTGTGTCCATGCCCTCAGATGCATTCTCTCTTAAGCTCAGAATTCCACCAGGATTTGTAAGTAAGAGATAGTTTATGTGGGTCAAGAGTATTTCTTTCTTTAAATTTTTTATAATTATGAAATATGACAAGAAGTATCTGTAGCAGAAAAATGTGCTCTGTATCATTCAGAGGTACAGCTCCTGAAGCATTCCTGTGGATTCTTTTTGTTTAGATCTACTGTAAGGAGGCATCTTGGACTACTTTGTTTGCTGAAATGCCTTTTGGGTCTTGGCAAAACATTTCAGAGATGACCAGTTTCTGAACTTTTTTGGAGCTTAGACAATATCTTGTGTTTTAATACTGTCTTCCCCATCAGAGATAATGATGTGAGTCTCCCCTGCTTATTCTTTGGGGTTTTGTTTCCTCCTGCTGATTATTTGAAGTAGATAAGAAGGAAGACAACCAGTAACTGTGTGTGAACAGGGAGGAATGACTAATAGAAAAATGAGAGGAAAGATACTGTTTATCATAAAAGACTCTACCTCTGGAGACATAAATTGATATTCATTAAGTTGTTTGCCTAGACTTAGTTAAAAGACATACTTGAAAAGCTGTCTGAACAGTGTTTCAGTAGAAAGCAAGTCATTCTCTTCATGACTAGATACATATCGATGAAGAGAAAAGACCAGAAAGCAGCACTAAATGATGGATTGAGAGCAGCCTTCATGGCAGTAAGGAGACAACAGGTTATGAAATGTTTTTCAGAAAGAACAATATTTAACACTTAACTGTAAAGTAATACTGATCTGTCTTTCCTCCCCGTATATGCAGGTTTTTTTCATATGCAACATTTTTCAAAATGTTTATGTTGAGGTTTTGTCATTTCTCATACAAAGTATGCAGGTTGCCCTTCATTTTAATGGTGATTTCTGTAGCCGGAAGTATAATTTTGCCTGTGATTATTTTGATACCCTGGATGTATAATCTTATTGGGTATCCTGTATATATCATCAATCACAGGGAAACAGTTGCAGAGTGGTGCCGGGCATTTCAGAATGTAGTTTGCTTTTACCATGGCTGTGTTCTTCCGAAAAAATCAGTTGTCTTTTGACTTTTGTAACATGACATCTATTTCAAAGACCTTCAGGATGGGCTCAGGCTGCAGTTTGAGATGAGATTTCGCTACTGTGCTTGTTGACTGGCATCTTTTCTTATTATCTGGAACTGGGGCAGATGCTTACAAGGGAATGTGTGTATTAATTATTGTGGAATCTGTGGCTATCCACTCTTTATATCTTTAAAAAAGTAATTGCACAACATAAAACTGGCAAAGTGCTTTCACTGTCTGGAGAGTGAATACTCTGTCAAACTCTTGTGCATGTTATAACTTTTCTGATGTTCACCATTTTGTATTTCCTTGTTTGCAGATTAAGACCCTTGATTTCAACACAGCTCGCTAAAAAGGCTGCCACTGAAGAGGTAAGTAGAGTCCAGCACTTCTAGTATAGCAGTTGGAGTCTGGAAATTCTCACAACCTAGCTCTGGTTATGTGCTACATAAGGGCAAAAGAAGTGAGTCTTGCTTCTCTGATCAGACTGGGAGCTGGTTACTGCAAACACTGCAAGCTAAGGTTGCCTGTTTTCTAACCAAGATACGCCCTTTCTTACCCGTCAGTAACATTAGCACAGCCTCATAATACCTGGTTAGACAGTGAAAAAACCTCACTGCAAGCATCTAAAAAGGTATATATCAAACCGGCGAGTAGGAAAGGGCAGAGCTCGTGCCTGTTTCTCAGCACTTAGATGGTCCCCGCAGAGAAGGGGGATGATGCAAAACATCGCTTCTGTTCAGCCGGCGACGGCCCAAGGGAAGGGCTGGGCTTCTGTAGGAGGCCAGTGAGGAAACACAAAGTGACAGCTTACAGCATGGCTTACTCCTTGGCTGGTTTGTTTGTTTAGTTTGAAAATATAATAGTGCCATAGAAAAGTTAGAGCTAGTAACTGGCCGCCACCAGAAACCCTCTATGGATGGCTTTGTGCACTTGCATTTTCTCCTGAAGAGATCTTGATTATTATCAGTCATAGTGGTAACTGCTTTCTTTCACTAATATTTTGACACTGTACAGAGTAGACATAAGCATTTTGTGTATGATAAAATAACTGTCTACTCTGTATCTAAAATTCTGCTCCTAATAAAACAAAGATATTTCTCCTACTTTTTCCCCATGAACATGTGACACTGACACCCTTTTGAAAGTGAACCTTGGGGAGTTTAACATGCTTTGCCAGTGGTCCATCCATCCGTAAATATATGTGCAAACCTCAAGTCCAGGATGTCTGGAAGTGAATTCAGGAAGTTCTGTTTAAAGGCATTATTTGACTGCCTTATTTTTGAAATTACTAAAACCCATTGATTTTCAGAAGCGGTTTGATATCCTGCCTGGGGAAATACATTTTCACTTCTTATGCTATGCTCATTAGAAAACTCTGCACATTTTCAGAAGTATAGCTGTCTGGAAGTGGACATGATAATTAGAAGAAGGTCACATTTTAATTAGCATGGTGCAATTTTAAAAAATAATGACTCAATTGTAGCTCCTTTATATTCACCCACTTTTTCAGAGCAGATGGATACTTTTAAGCATATAAATTGATACATATTATGATGCTGATTCGTCTCAAACTGTTGTGTCTATTTTTGTTTATACTGAAAACCTAGATAAGACTCAATTTGATCACTCTAGAGACAAAAGCAGCGGTAGGAAATATAAAATAAACTGGAGGGAAGTGCCTCTAAATAATATGATTAATTTGAGCATTAAAAAATCATGAAAACCTGTCTTTGAGTGGTCTGAATGTCTAAATACTTGATTTTCTATTAAAATTAATGGGTGTCTTTTGCCCTATTAATGAGCTATTGGAACAAACCCTTAGGTGACTTTGAAAAACTTGGGCAGATTCTTTAGGTTGACTGTCATGGTATACGACACATTCAGGTACTGCTTTGATGTTTGAATAATTAGACTATCAAATTTCTGGTACAGGGATTTTCTCTTGTGGTGTGCCTCTGAAGTGCCTGGAGTTACAGGGATTCTGGGAGTTACTGCATCCTGAGTAAATACATTTATTTATAAATAAATAAAAATACATTAACAACACCAAATCAGAGCTTACTGCTAATGGAACTGCAGAAGATGCAGCAGTACGCAGTTCCATACTGTAATTTAAAGCCTAAAGTACTGTAGGACTATTCTTGTGGTGGGGACCAGAGGAGTTGGGGTTTCCTGATCTCCTTTGGACCACTGATTCTGAGGAGCACCTCACCACTGTTCTTCCCAAGGAAGCAGTCCTGGTCATCTCCTTCCTTCCTAGTAGAGGAGATGACTCTCAGTGCTGGTAACTGCTGAGTAGTGACAGGTATGTTAAGTATTCTCTTCTCAAAATTACGTACATGACGAAACGGTGTTAATGGTTAATCTTCAGTTTCCTTCAAGTTGCCATTAATGGGGTGTTCTTTTGGGTCACAGGCTGTAGTGTAGTGTCCAAGTACAGAACAGTTGTGAAAAGTACAGTGTTACAAAGCTGATGGAGATGAAGAATCACAGAATCATAGAATACCAGCTTGGAAGGGACCTCAAGGATGATCTGGTTCAACTTTTCCTGAAAAAGCATGCCCTAGGCTAAATGTCCCAGCACCCTGTCCAGTTGAGTCTTGAAAGTGTCCAACACTGAGGAATCCAGCACTTCCCGGGGGAGATTATTGCAATGGCTGATGGTTCTCATCGTGAAAAATTTTCCTCGTGTTCAACGGGAATCTTCCTGGGAGTAACCTGTGCCCATTACCCCTCGTCTTTTCTATGTGACTCCTTGTAAAAAGGGAGTCTCCATCTTCTTTGTAGCCACCCTTTAAATACTGGAACATGGTGATAAGGTCTCCCTTGAGCCTTTTCTCAAGGCTGAACAAGCTTAGCTCCTTTATCCTTTCCTGACATGGTTTCCCAGTCCTTTGATCATCTTTGTGGTCCTTCTCTGTCTACAATTTTGTTTGTATAGCAGGGACCAAAGCTCCTGTGGTAATTCTTCCCTGGATGAGAGAGGGAGATACAGCCCTAGAGTGAGCCCACTGTAGAAGTGAGAACTTCAGGGACCAGAGCCTGGGCTGTACTGGGGCAGACTGTGTTGCTGCTTCGTGCCCCATTCCCAGATCTGTCATTAATGAACCAGAGCCAATATTACTTTCTCCTAGTTCACCTCTGATTCCTTGCAGTGTTGCCTCTTTTCACCCTCCCTGCTGTGTCCTGCCTAACCTTGGAACAGCTAACTGGGCAGGTACACATACCAAATGGGTCCCGTTAATAATCAATTCCCAAGTTAGTCTTTGGAGATCATTATTCTGATGAATTTCATAGGTAATGTTACTGGTGCTGGTGTGTATTATCAATCTAGTGCTCTGCCATGATGTTAAGTGCTGTTTGTTCCATATCTCATTGTGACTTGAAATAAAACCAACCCAAGAGCTGTCAAAACCAATACGTACCGTTTTTTTTTTCTCTGATTTGAAGGGTACATTTTTGCTATCATTAAAGTATCAGTAATATTGTTATTGTGTGATAGGCCTGATGTGAGTCAAGCACAATGAGGAAAAGGTTGTAAGTTTTTACCTAGAGCTCTACTGAGGAGCCTTCACTCCCAGATTTCTCCTTACCTTGTGCTTGCAAGAGGATCCTAGTTCTGCTGTTACCGTCTCTGAATATTTCGGTTACCTGGCTATGAATTCTGTGAAAACTGGATTTTTGTGCCTGACTTTCATTTAGGCAATGTTTCTTTGAGCAAGTTCCATGTCTGCTAGAACAGCTAAGCCTCTAGCACTGTACATGGGCTTCCAGGTCTCCTGTCCTATCATTTGGAAGCTGCCAAAGTTTTATACAAATACTGAACAAAAGGAAGGGCTGCTCTACTGTCCCTTTCCCTTTTTTGCAGGTGACTTTTCCAAGTGCACAAGCAGAAGCCCCTGGCTTAGAAAAAGCAGCAGCTGTGCTAGTGGAGAGTGGCCCAGTAGCTTACAACCCTGATGAAGAGGTGGAAGAGGAAGAAATAGAAGATGATGATGATCACTGCATGAGTGCCTTGCAGTTAATGGGAGGAAATGGTAAACTGCTGCCTAAATTATCATCTACTGATGCTGTGGGGTTTGTTGTTTCAGAGCTGAGGACAGACAGGTTTTCCCTGCTTGTCCCTGTTCTCTGGCATCTCATCCTGTGCAGAGCTATGGACACATTTCCAGCATTGCCCATTCCTGTGGGAAAGCCTGGAGTCACCTTTGTCCAAAACCTGACCTTCTTAGAGACTGTTCCTGAGAAAACTTTGCTTCTTGAGCTTTAAGCTAAGAGGATTTCTCAGAAACAAACTGATGTTATACACATTTTTCTGAAGTAGGTTTATTAACATGGATCTGAGGATTTATGGGATCAGTGACCCTTCCATTAGCAGTGCTTGGGGCTCGTTGCCTCCCAAGCGATGCTGTCATGCTCCTGCCTCCTTCCTCAGCTAGGGCTGCAGCAACATCCAGTTGTCCCTGAGCCCTGGGTACATGGCTGTCCAGCTCAAAACAGAATGAATGGTCCCACTCCACTTCTGGGGAAAGTGTTAGGAGGAAGTAGTTCTTCACCAAGTACAGAAGTCACATTGATAGCATACGACATGCTGTATGGTACACAGATGTGTGCTAATTTCTTTGGGTTACCCAAAAAAGCCACTCATTTAATTTAGGTTTCTTTGGTGGCAGGAAAAAGCAGGGTTTTTTCCTAACCGGACACATCCACATTTATACTTTATTAAAAACTTCCCTATAGGAACTTAAGCTTTGAAAATACACAGAAATATTTTTTTAAGTGAGAGCTGCCAATTACGGGTTGTGAAAAACAAGATGAGAGTAAGTTTCCTACTGAAATGTTATTTATTGCAAAAATCTTTCCAGTGCTATAAATTTAGTGTTCATGGACAATATGTATACATTTCACGAGAGTGTCTGTTGCTTTTAAATTGATTTCTCTACTGGAAAATAGTTGCTGAACTGTAGGAAAAACAGTTTGTTGCCTGCATTTATTATTACAATAATGTTCCCAAGAAAAGGCACCAGTGTGGGGGAGGGTGGGTCCATGTTTATTAATAACCCCCCCACAAAAATAGAATAAAGGTCACTGAGCTTTTTTTTCTTTGTAAATGTTACTATCTTTAAACCATTCTGAGAACATTCCACTGCTCCCTGTCTGGTCTGGACAACAGCTGAAAAGTCAGAGTTAAAAAACAATAAAAATGAAAAGAAAAAGAAAGGAATATTCCCAACATTGAGACACAGGTGTGCAGAGCTATCAGCAAAACAAATAGCTCTTTTCTAAGTGCTTTCATCATAGATTTTAGACCTGTCTGCCTGGAATAACTGCAGGATTTACAGACGGTGAGCTTCACCCATTCTACTCAAATTATTACAAATTACATTTAACTCTGCTTCTGAGCATTTGCTTCCCTCTTTGGATGAGATGTTGGTTGCACTGTATTGATTTTGGAATATAAAGGTTAACTTTAATGAATACTCATATGTAATGGCTATCCACAGGTTAGACTGTGCAACAGAAAATACCTGATTCGCTGCCTTCAGAATCATAGCACACAGAAGGCAAATTGGTGCGTTAGAAACACACAGTCTTACCTTCTGACACACACATCACACAGTCTCTGCACTCAGCATTGTTTAAGAAAACAAAACTGGATAAAAAAAATCTAGGCAAAATTTTAAGCTGCTCCTCTAGGAGTAAGTAGATACTGGAGATCTGAGTCAGATGCGTTGGTCAGGATTTGTGGCACGCCTCCTTTGGTGTTGATGGGAACTCTGAGCTATCTCTGAACCCTTGCAGTTTCAGCTTATGAATTCATGAATAATGTAAACAAGTCAGCTTTTTTCTTGGTGGCTATGTCTAGTGAGGACCGTGCCTACTTGTAAATGTATGCTGCCGCTTATCAGCCACCGTGTTCCAAATTACTTGTGACAATCAGGCTTGATCAGCTTAACCTCCAAATTAAACCAAATATTTCATTTGTCCATGTGTCAAGTATTCCTAAATGAGGCCCCAGTGACAAGTCAGAAGAGATATTTGTACATACATGCTTACAAATAACTTTATTTCATTGAGGGAAGTACATGCACAAACTTTATTTAGCCCTAAGAAAATAACATGATTTTTTTAAAATGCTTGCTTAAGACAAAACTTACCATCTAGTTAAACAGTGGAAAAACAACCTGAAAGTAGCAATACTTCTGTTGTATCTAGCTGGAATATTGTATCTTTTATATGCCTTTGTCTTTGTATATTTCAGATTATGGCTGTGATGTGGATGATGATGATGGCTATTAGTTCCATTTACTTCCAAAGGACATGGACTATGTCTTGTTCCCAGCAAATCTTCAGTCTTCAAACTGTATGAGTTTAATTAGGTTTCTCTATATGAAAGAAGCTTTCTATGGTCAGCAAATGTAATCGAACAATCCTTACTTTTGTAAGTGAATTTTAGGTTGCCATTGACTCTGGTCAGTTTACCTTGACCTGTAACCCAGCAACAGTGTTTGGGTTTGTACTTGAATTTTTCTTTATGTGGTGGATCATAGTTTCAGAATGAAGGGATTAATGTTTCCAGAGAACAAAAGAAAAAAGCCAAAACAGACTGCGTATAAAGCATGTGTGGCTGAAAGCAACACATCTCTTATTTATGTGACTGTGCTTTTAGGCATGCTGTTGAAGGGGAGCAGATTGAAGGACAGATAGGACGGGTAAAAAGGAGAAGTGTGCCTGTTGATTATTTCAGTACAGTAGCATTAGTTGTTTCATAATGCTGCAACTGAAAGAAAGAAAACATTTCCAGCGTGTATTGTGAACATGACCCTGTTATTGTATACAAGCTTCCTTACCCAAGTCTATCAGAAAGTAATGACAGGTTATATGTTTGCGATGCAGTATTGTTTCTTTGAAATTAAGTAAATACTTCTTTGTACTAATCAAGTAATAGATTTCTTAAAAGGACGACAATAGGAGACAATGTTGGCAGTGAAGAATCATTTTCCACTGTCCCATGTGGGAGGAGGGAGAAGACCTGCGTGAGGCAAGAAGTGTAGAGGGCAGGCAGGCAACAATGCTATGCTCACATGCCTTTGCTGGGCATTCCTAGCAACAGCCAGGTCTTCTTGTGGCTGGTATTGCTGCAGGACAGTCACTCTGACCATCTCTATGTAGCTATTCTTGTCCAACTGAGTTGGAATGGCGGTCTGCTCCCCGGAGCTGCCTGTCTCTAAAACTGGCTGAAGGAAAGAGAAAGCTGATCTTTTTAATAAATAAGCTAGCATCTGCTTTGGCCCAATTTAATTTAATTAATTTATTTCACTTTCTCTGGGTAAATTAAAGGTCACCATGCAGCAATCTGACTTTCATGGCTCAAATCCCACCCTGGAACAGTCGCTGCTACTTGAGTAATGCAGTAATGGAGCAGTAATGCTCCAGCCCTGTGCTCCCCAAAATGGCAACAGGCAGGTCCTTCTCTTTCAGATCCATCAGCTCTCCCAGTGCAGTTAGACTGGGGATCAGGGACGGAGCCCTTATTGTCAGATCCCACCCTGTTGTCTCTGACTTGCCCTTTCCTGGCACTGCTCGGTCCGAGGCTCTTGGCTCAGTGGGGGTTGCACTGCACTCTGGATCACAGTATTGATGACTGCAGCTGCGGTACCCAAAATGTTTTCATCTCTTTCCCTTGTCTAGTGACAGTCATAAAAAACTTTAGCACTGCAGGCTGGTCTTACACCAGGTAAAGATGGATATTTGTCTTACCAATGTGGTTTCTCTTAAGCTGTCTCTCCTGGTCAAGTCGTCTTTCCTACCCTTTTTGAGGAGTGTTCATCACTAAAGCACCATCCATCCTCATGCTGCAGAGGGTGAATCATGGGAGGAAGAGAAGCTGCCTTAGGAAGAAGCTCTGTAGCTATTATCAGCCAGAGTGATGATGCTGCTCATACCTGTGGTCATCAGCAAAGAGGGGGGAAGGGCCAAAAGGCCTTCCATACTTCTCCATCTCAGTAGCATGCATAAGAGGGATCATGTAGATCATGTAAGTAGAGCGAGTGCTCTTTTTAGGAGCGGACTTGATATTATTTGCCTGGTAAATGTAGTTTTTTGGGTAGGTTGTATCTGATAGGTATTTTTGAGCCCTGTATAGGAGTATTTCCAGAATAACTTCTTAAAAGCAGAATTCAGTAACGCAAATGATGTAATGAAGCTAATGGGAAGAAGAGCTTTTCCGAACCAGATGCCAGTTGCTTAGTTTGCAGCACTTCAGTGGAAAGAAGATATTCCATATAACTCTTAGAGGAAAAGCTGGTATTTTCCCAAAAGCCTATAGATTTTTTTCTGATACTTTATAAATACTGCACAAAAAATAATATTGAGGGTATAAACCTTTCTACCTCTCTTTTATCTACACCACAAATTAAAAATCATGCTATAAGCAGATTTTTAAAAGTAGTTTGTTTTATCAAAGTTTGTGCTCTGCAAGTCTTCGGAACAGTTGACTTTGAGCATTTGGGTTTGGATTATTCTGCCAATAGCATTACAACAAATACCCATAGTCTCAGTATATTCTCAAAGCTGGGTTTTATTCCAAGGTACACATTATTCTCTATGCAGGAAATAAACATGCATAAATAAACATGTGTATCACAGTATCACAGTATGTTAGAGATTGGAAGTGACCTCGAAAGATCATCTAGTCCAATCCCCCTGCCGGAGCAGGAACACCTAGATAATGTTACACAGGAATGCTTCCAGGCGGGTTTTGAATGTCTCCAGGGAAGGAGACTCCACAACCTCCCTGGGCAGCCTGTTCCAGTGTTCCGTCACCCTCACTGAGAAGAAGTTTCTTCTCAAGTTTAAGTGGAACCTCTTGTGTTCCAGTTTGTACCCATTACCCCTTGTCCTATCATTGTTTGCCACTGAGTAGAGCCTGGCTCCATCCTCGTGACACTCCCCCTTTATATATTTATAGACACTAATAAGGTCACCCCTCAGTCTCCTCTTCTCCAAACTATAGAGACCCAGCTCCCTCAGTCTTTCCTCATAAGGGAGATGTTCCACACCCCTAATCATCTTCGTTGCCCTGCGCTGGACTCTCTCCAGCAGCTCCCTGTCCTTCTTGAACTGAGGGGCCCAGAACTGGACACAATATTCCAGATGCGGTCTCACCAGGGCAGAGTAGAGGGGAAGGAGGACCTCTCTCGACCTACTAACCACCGCCCTTCTAATACACCCCAGGATGCCATTGGCCTTCTTAGCCACAAGGGCACAGTGTTGGCTCATGGTCATCCTGTCGTCCACTAGGACCCCCAGGTCCCTCTCCCCTACACTGCTCTCTAACAGGTCATTCCCCAACCTATACTGGAACCTGGGGTTGTTCCTGCCCAGATGCAGGACTCTACACTTTCCCTTGTTATATTTCATCAAGTTACTCCCTGCCCAACTCTCCAGCCTGTCCAGGTCTCGCTGGATGGCAGCACAGCCTTCTGGCGTGTCAGCCACTCCTCCCAGCTTAGTGTCATCAGCAAACTTGCTGATAGTACACTCAATTCCCTCATCTAAATCATTGATGAATATATTAAATAATACCGGTCCCAGTACTGACCCTTGAGGCACTCCACTAGTTACAGGCCTCCAACTAGACTCAGCCCCATAGACTACAACTCTCTGGCTTCTCTCCTTCAGCCAGTTCGCAGTCCACCTCACTACCTGATCATCCAGTCCACACTTCCTCATTTTAGCCGTGAGGATGCTGTGGGAGACTGTGTCGAATGCTTTGCTGAGGTCAAGGTAGACCACATCCACCGCTCTGAGACCACATCCACCGCTCTGATGTGTATGACTCATGGAGGTCCAGTGCTATTCTCAAATGCAAGATGTTGGCTCTTAAAGGAACCACCACAATAAATTCTTTATTGCTGAGGGTCTTTCCTCCTGTCTTCCGTGTAGATTTTCATCGGTTTGTTCCCTCTAAAGGATGCTAACCCTGCTGCCAGTGTGGTGATGTTATGTGCAGGAGCCCAGAGTCCACCCAAATAGCTGCTGCTAGGAGATTATAATTGCAGTAGCACGCTGTGTTTCTAAGAACACAGTTTCTTGCACTGGAAGTAGAGGATTGCAGGTTTTGAATGGTCTCATCTGATTTGATTAGGAACGGCTATCATATGGTCTGCTAGAAGCCACTTGGAGAGCAGAAAAAAAAAGACCTACAATTCCATAGCATCTCAGTATTGCTGGCATGGTTTCTGTACAGGAGTTCTAAAGGAAAAGCCATGGTAATCACACAGGCAGACTTCACTCCGAGTATTGTAAAGCTTCTTAAGCGATAGTGGTTATGTACATTTTTAATTTATTGGTGACTTACCAGGATTTTTATAATGTTCATTCCTTCTTGATTTAACTAAGCTCAGGAAATGTATACAGATTAGAACACGCTAGTTTCTGTTTTTATAACTAGTCATTAAAATGTAAAAAGATTAACACTGCATTAACTCTGTTTACTACTGTTGAGGTATCTGGACAATTTTGTTGCATATAAGTAAGCCTAAATTCACTTGGAGTAATTTGGACCCTGCTTTTCTCAGGATTCTGATTATAATGAAGAGAGCTTATAAGGCTTCAACATCTGTTGTTCCTAGATCTTTGTATTTGAACTCACACAAGCTATATATCATTGGGTTTGTTGCATAAAGCATGTCTGTTGCTGCAAGTCACTTTGTTTTTGACAGGCAAAGCCCTCCAGCAGTTGCATTCAGCTTGTCTGCCATGCAATCTTTTCACATTCTTGCATGGTGGGAGTCAAAAAAAATGACAAAAATAAGGAAAATAATGGGATTCTTCAGTGTGGTGAGTGCATTTTCAGTGTCTTAATCATCTATGACATTTCCTTAAAATCACTGTGTTCGGTACAGCAACTTTTAAATGTTGCCAGACAGCCTTGTCTTGAGGATTAAACATGTTTGTTGAAAAAGTTCTTGCCATCCTGATGGCTTATTTGTATTCTTTGGATTGCATTGAAACTCCAGCCGCAGATGTGTACAGTTAATGTAGAATTTGCCTAATAAATATTCTGTTTCTTAATTTTACGTTGCATTCTTGCATTTGGTTCAGGTAGTGCCAAGGAAATTAAACCTGTTTGATGTAAACATCTGTATTGTCCTTACACAACCACAATATGAGCCATGTTAAGCTTTTTTACTGTAATATATTTGCTGTAAGTAAACAAATAAACCCCTGCAGAATCCATCCTTTATGATGCTCTCCTTCTAAGTTCTGATTTTTCTATCTTCATTGTTATGAACATTTGTTTGTGATTGCTGCATGGTTGGCTTATAGTGGCCAGAATTTATAATTTGGAGGTTTCTTTCATCTGTAAAATGGAAGACATGTCTAATCAGGCAAGTGTTTTTTACAAGATATTGTTCCACTGATAAATGTAGATACCTTCTGTAAACTGCATAACATTAACAAGTCTTTTCCACTGAGCTATATAATTAACTAACTGTGGGAACAATATATAGTGTGTGTGTTTTGTGGAACTCTTCCAGTGCTTGTTTCTGAAAGTTGTGATATCTTGATAAATAAGGTGTGTGCCGAGTTAAAAATCATGTTATTTTATCAGCATCTGGTCGACACAGTTTGGAGGCCAAAATCCGCATCTACCATTTGTGCACATGAGTGTTTGTTTTTTGTACCTGCTTTGATTCCTGCACATGCACTGGGAGCTCACCAGGGGAGAGTCCACACACATACCAGTACAATCGAAGTAGGATTCATGGGTTGACACAGGGTAGAATATAGCTAAAGCAGATGGCTTCAGAACTTTAGCCGTGATTTTCAAGCAAACTAACACCAGGCCACTGGGAAATACTGCTTGATACTGCTGTGTGCTGCATTAAATCAGTAGGGTCTACCGTAAGCTCTGAGGTTTCCAACAGCAAATCAGTGCGATGTGAATCATTGTGTTTTCTTTTTGGACCACCAGGCACTACAAGAAAGACTGAAAAGATTTTGCTGCCTGCAGTAAGATGAAGGATCTTTCCAGTTGTTCATCTTCCCTGTACATTTTATCCTTTTTCAGAGGAGCTGGCTGCACTACATTAATAAAATGCCATCTAAAACACTTTCGGCCAATGTTCTTGGCACTCATGCAAGTGTAGGCTCCCCTAGCCACTTGGCAAGCAAAAGGTCTCTATCAACCCTTGTAGAGCTGCCCAGCTTAGACCCTAAGTGTTGTCACTGCTTGTGGATATAATACCAGTTTGAAAGGGGCTACATCTCAGATGACAGATGATAGTCCATCAATTAGGAGATTACATCTGTCCCAGTCTGCTGCACACATCAGTGGGGACAAGCAGCTATATTGATACCACTGTGCAGAGAGGTAGTTTGGGGGTCCCAAGGGCTGTGTTCAGCCCATGGATCAGTCCCATCCATTAATCCACCTTGACTACTACAGCATGTATGATGCTCAGAAGGAGATAAGCAATTGAGGCCATCTGTGACACCTCAAGTCAAGGTCAGAAATAGGCAGGATAAAGACAAAGCTATTACAGGACTTAGATCAGGTTTGGAAGGAAGGCTATGGCTCTTCCAGTGTCATTGCAAGCCTACTTTCCCAGCCAAGCTTAGCTATCATTAAATTCTTGGGTAGATCTTAGATTGCTTGGAGCATAGGCTACCTTGCCATCCAAGGAAATGTTTTGAGAGGCTTGGGATGTGTGTGTCTACTTTTAAGTTACTCCCTCTACTGCAATAAATTGCAAGGACCTTGCTGGTGATTGCAGCTTTCCTTCTGCAAGGAAGTGAGCGCTGAGCTCAGAGTGCAGAGTGCTCAGCGCTCAGCAGGAGTAAGCAATCACTACTGAAGAGCAGAGATGTTAAGTGAGACAAAAAGAGGAGGAAAGCAGCACAGGCAGGGAATTGTGGTGAAACTTGGAGCATGCAAGCATCGGTTGCTCCAGATGTCAGAGACAGGGATGTCCCTCACCAGAGGTGGAGAAGCAAGTAGCGAACACAGTGGAGGAGACCTGGGCTGGTAAGCTGTGATCTGAAATTCCTCCTCATTTCACTGTGAGACAAGTCTCTGTTTCCTAATACTGCAAAGGAAGGTGTGTGTTTGTGTGTGTGTGAAACTGTATCACATGGCTCCCCATGACATCCCTTACTCTTCACTCTTAACTGCTCACATGGGCATGGTGCCTGACTTGCTCTCCAGCTAGTGACTATAGCTCGCTCACTGCCAGATCCTGCCCAGCAATGACTCAGAAGGCAAAAGGACTGGGACACAGTAGCTCCTGTTCCTGGAAAGAGAGCAAGCAGTTCTGGTACTTGGAGGTTTCACCCATGCCTTTGCTCTGAGTCTGCTTTGCTGTCTCTGATGATCTCACGTCTTGTACAATTTCTTATGGGTAGCTGAAGGAGATGAATATGGAAGCTGAGGGAATCTAGAACCACCAAGGACTTTTGGCAAACTGGCATGGGGCTGCTAAGTCCCCCTTACACGTAGACCCTTACTGCGTATGTTGTCTGCCCTTCTCTGTAACCTGCAATCATTGGTATTTTTGGAAGAGATGGGTGTTGTGAAATAGTTTCTGGAAGTGCTGCTCTCACTTATGTCAGGCACTGTTGCAGATACTGTGA